CCCGAAGATGCGGGATGGCAGCCGCGCCGCCGTCCAGCCTCTCCCTCCGCACCACGGGCTCCACCTGCCTGCACCCGCTCAGCCAGCTCCTGGGCATCCCGCTGGACCAGGTGAGTGCGCGCGGGGCGCACGCCCTCCCCGAGCCCGCGCGCGGAGCCTGCGGGGGAAGCGCTGCCTCCCGCCGTCCCGCCCCCGCCGCAGAGTTTACAGCCACGCACTGGGCAGGTGTTTGAGTTTGTGTTTCTCCTGTAAGTGTGAAAAAACATTGGTATACCCTGCACGACAGGTTCGGAAGAACTTTTTTTGTTTTTAATTTAAAGTTTTGGGTTGCCGTGTTTCCCGTTACCAGGTTCTAAGCTCTTCTGATATGAATGAGTTGTTCCTTCCACCAGGGGGGTCAAGTCCTATCGTTTTTAATGTAGATGACCCTACGTAAAAACACACCTCATCTGAATGAGAGACCTGGGTTTTAAACCTCAGCGGTGGGACTTGTCAGATGAGGGTGACAGTTATTTTGTACCATGCGTGCGGTCCCTCGGAAGGGCAGGAGGGACCCAGGACACTGGTTTCCCCGGGGCCGAGGTTCCAGGCTCCCAAGCAGGGCAGGTTAGTGGGAGAAGGGGGGCGCTGTTGACGTCATGTGGACTCTCCCGGGTTGTGTGCTACCATTAAAACTGAAAATCGCAATAAAGGACAGTAATCCCTGGTAGATCTTCCTGCGGGTTGAGGCTGTCTTACTCACTTGACCGTCTCCTTTGGGTGCTGCAGGCTGGATCCGCCACGGGTGTAGTATTGAGTCAACAGATGCGTGTTGACTTAAATGTATGGGTGGGGCTGCTGGCGGAGGGCCCGCTGCGCTCCAGCCTGTTTTGTTTCAGGCTGAGTTTTTGCCCAGGTTTCTTCCTTTACCTTTCACTAGTGATCTTTCCCCCCGAGCAGGAGCACACCTGCTGCTCATTCCATTCACATTCTCTCAGCCACGAGGAAGTGAGAGTTGGCCCGTGGCCTTCCTCAGATAGCCTTTATTGCACCACCCTTCCAGCAGGGTTCCCTCTGAGGATCTGAGTCAGAACCGCACCTGATCTCACCATTGCCTTCCCATCAGCTGGAAAATCCAGTGAATTAAGAACTTGGGGGAGGTATCAAATCCTAACTCCTGCTTTTGTAAATTACTCCTCTGTGTGTACTGAGGGTGGAGAGACCCAGGGACCCAGGCAAAGGCAGAAATAACAGCAGAGTTTAGCTCTGAAACTCATAGCCGAGTTTCCTTAAGGGGGGTTTGTTTTGCACTTACCCCCACCCCCATCAGAATTTATTTTAATTGCATGTTCTGTTTTAAGTTACTCTGCACAACTAGAGGGAGGAATCCAGCGAGACCTTGTGTATGGAAAGAGGTGGACTGTTAATGGGACCTGACGGGTTATGACTAGGAGGTGCTGGTATGATGTTATTAAGTGCTTTTTAACTGCATCCACCCCCATCTCCAAATATCTTGGGTTTCCGTCAAAGGAACCCTCTTTTTAATTATAAAAAAGAATAGAAGAGCCTTACGATGTTTAAGGGTTTGGGGGATGAGCTGAAGGAAGAATGCGGCCATGGGCCAGGAAGGAGCACCTGTGAACTCTTCAGTCTGAGGACAGCCCCGTGCCCGCCAGCAAGGTCAAATCTGAATGACTCTTGGTGGAAGAAGCGCGTGTAGGGCAGTGCCCCAGCTAGCTTATTTTAGACCCAGGGAAAAATCCCAAACCATAAATAATGTGACTTGAGGCTATATGGCGGGCAGCTTGAGAGTTTTTAAGCTTGATGTTTTTTTCTCCCTCACACTTTCAAGAGCTTTTTAAGATCTTAAGTGTCAGACTGGCCTAGGTGTAATGCCTGCCCAGCTGGCAGGTTTCCTGTGTGACCACGGCTGGCTGGTACTTTACCCTCTCAGAGCCTCTGTATCCTCGTGTGTAAAATGGGAGATGGCATTAAGACCTTCATTTTGGGAGTTGAGAAATTTTATATAGATATAAAATGCCCTGCATCAGGAAGGTCCTTGTATCAGGCAAACTTCAACCCATTGAATTGGGTTGTAATGGGAAACTTTATTGAACTACTTAGAGGGGTGTGGGCAGCATTAGGGGAACCGGAAAATGATGTTTGGGAGCAAGACCTGGGAGCTGAAGGGGATAAGGGAAGGCAGGCCTGTCGCAGTTGCCCAGTGAGAGCTGTACCCAACTCCTGCCAGGATGAGGTGCAGGGAGCAGAGAGAGAACCTCAGCCCTTCTCACCCCCCACCCCTCCAGCCCACAGACCCTCCATTTCTTGCCAATTCCCTCCAGTGCTCAGACCCCCACTGAAAGGTGGCTGACCTGGGGTGCCCTGGTCTGCAGGGTCTCCTCCCGGGGCACAGAATGGGGCTAGATCTGGAGGGCAGTCCAAGAGCAGAGTCCTTGATAAATATTTGCTCCTGTCACATTAAAGAGTGACTTTTTATTGGCTCACGTTACCTAAATTGTTCTTCATATGCCCCTTAAAGACACTGGACCCCCCCCCCCC